TAAGAAATTCAGATTCGGTGGATCATATTTTCATCCACTGTTTTTTTGCCACTCGGGCTTGGAACTATATGGCTTCGCTTTTGGATTTCTCCTTCCGTCTTCCTAAACATATAGATGACTTCATAGCGGAAGGATTTGGTGGGGTGGCGCTCAAAGGCAAAGTTGCGATCCTATGGCAGTGTGCAGCGAGGGCTCTCCTTTGGCATCTTTGGAAAGAGAGAAATTGTAGACTTTTTGAGGACAAATCTGTCCCTTTAGATTCTTTTTGTGTGAATACAAAGCATACAGCTTCTTGGTGGGCCACAATCCACAAGAAGGCTTTTGGAAACTACAGTCTTTTTTTGATTTCACAGGATTGGAAGAATGCGATTGTATAGTTCTCTTTGGGGAGGGTTCTCTCTACCCTCCGCCATTAGGTTGTTCTCGCCTTTTTGGGCTCTTTTGATTTGAATGCATTCTCTTTGTTTCTTATAAAAAAAAAAGGATCCGATCATGCAAAAAAAATTATTGGATTCTTTTACTGAGGACAAATAACATATTGCGGAGAAAAATAAAAGGAAAGTTAAAGAAATTTCAGCCCTTAGCCTCGATATCATTAACTCAAAAAATTAGAAATTGATTAAGAATAAGAATGTATGTGATTCATCTGATGATGAGGAAGGATGCAATATTAGTATAAGTTGTCAGGATCCTCCCAGATTTCCAGAAGATCAAGAGGTTGATCATGAAGATTTCTCCGAGCATTCTTTTACAGAAGATTTTAATAATCTTTTTGGGGAAGATCAAGACTCTTTAAACCCTCCTGGGAGAGCGGCTTCATTGCTTTCCTTTTCCTGTTTTCCAACAATTCTTGTTCCAATAATCAAAGCCTTTTTCAATATTTTGAAGAATTTGGCATAACTCTAGTTCCAATCATTGATGAGAGTCTAAAAGTTGCTTCGAAGTTTTAATCTTGTTCAAAGCTTGGTTTTTTGGAATCCAAAAGGGTCATTTTAAAGTTCTGTTCTTCCTCTATTATTTGGCAATCTTTCTAGTTTTGGTTCTCACGGAGGGTCAAGGATGCTTCCAGGAGTTGTTTTTATGTTGGCTTTGCAGATCAAAGTAGTTTTTCTGAGCTTTCCATCTTTGCTGGGTTGGACGAAGGTTTTGAGAATTTGATTGTTCTTGTTTCAGTCTCTGAGGACTTCTTTTGTGTTTCTAATTGCCCTTAAGTCGTATTTTAAAGGCCTATGCTCTTTCCAAGTCTTCATTTATCGGTCTTTTGATGGATCTCTTAATTAGTCGGCTGATGTGGTCAAGCCTTTTAAAGGTTATTTGCAGATTTTGTTCATCCTCTTTTTTATTAGTCTGTCGCCAAGATGTTCTTCTGAGAATGAGCCTCATAATTCAAGTTTGAAAGGAGTGTTCATGATTCTTTTGGCGCATGTTTTCTTTGAGCTTATAGTTGCTTTGTTCATCGATGTTTTATTGTATTGTATCTTTTGGATTTTTGTTCTTTATTTGACTATTTTTTCCTTTATTTCTATGCTCCCGTTGGGAGTTTGTATCCTTGAAAAATTTCTTCCTTTTCATAAAAGTTTGTTTCTTGTTAAAAAAAAATTTTAGATTCTTTTTGGTAACTTTGTCATATGTTCCTTAGCTCTTTCTAAGACAAGTCTATTTGAGGATTAATTTAGTTAACTATGTGCAAGAAATTTTTATTTTTTATTTTTTATTTCTTACTACCTTTTTTTGTCAACTGATGTGTGTATGAAGTTCTAATGCTCATCTTTTCATGATTATGACAAACATTGTTTTAGATCGTGTTAGGAAAATTTATAAAAATTTTCCTCAGATTCCATTACCTCTACAGTTGGGGGAAGATGATGATGTGCAACAACTTTCGGAAGCACTTGGTGCGGCAAAAACACGTGTAGAAGGATGTTCCTCCTTTCTGAAAGCAGCTCTAAAGTGAGACATTGTCCCCTTCCCAGTACTTAGTTATTTCTACATTGGGAATAAAAAAACAAAACAAAAATGAGCATCTTATTATAAGGTGCAGCTGTTTGAATTATGTGATACATTCTTTCTTACATATCAAGTTAGATTTTTACTGTCTAATCCTTGTGTACTAAAGAAGATATGTGCTTTGAACAAATCCTTAAATTATCAGGTGGTCTATGGAGTTTGGATCGCACAGGAATGGATCTCCAGAAATTCATGTGATGCTTGCTACATATATATATTCTGAATCACCAGAAGTGGTAGGTTTGACCGGAGAAGTCTTTAAGTCCTTGTTTGTACTTGTTCTTTGTTTCCAAGAACTTGTGTGCTTTGTGTGTATGATGAGTTCATTTTAAATGCAATTGACAGGTCTAATGTTACTTCAGTCCCTTTGGAGATAGAATAGTGGCAGTTAATTCAATGTCTAATGTCTATGATGTCTATACTTTTTAGAGTTGACATATCTGACTTGTTAATAGAAATAAGATGTAGCATTTTGAGAAGGGTTGTTGTTTGATTTTTGAGCTAGGCTCTTAAACCATTTGGATAGTTTGCTTTGTAGCCCGGCAAGGTAGAGTTTTCTTTATTGGAGTATGTAATTCGGCAATGACCTGTACTGTTGCTATAATATATTTGCTGACAAGGCAGCGAGATGCATTTGCATGCCATTTCAACTCTTTGATATGGTTGTTGAAGCGTTGAACATGGATGATGAAACTGTTGCTTGTCCACTTTGACTGGTTTAATAGTATCTTCAGTATTCTACTTGTTGCAGGACATGGCCAAAGTATCATATCACTTTGTTCGAGGAAATAACCCCAAGGAGTTTGCTTCTATATTAGTGAACTTTATGGGCAAGGTTATCAGAGCTTTTCTTTATCTCTCATATTTCGAGGATTAGTATGCAATCTTCATTAAGTCTTCATACTTGCCAATTGCCATGGTTGAATCAAGGTTTTAAGTCATGGATTATTTTAATTGCTTCAGAAATTCTTATGTTCCTTAAGCATATCTCTTGTTCTTTTCACGTGTCTTGTGGTCTTACACCTTGTGAGAGATACTTATTAGCTAACGTACAGCTATTAATATATGTTCTTCAAAGATAATTTGAAGTGATTCCTTATTTGCTAATATGGTAAGAAAGGATTCAAGTTTTGAAGGTTGACAAAAATATTGAGGCTCATTTTATTGAAATATCAATATCGATGGATATTTCTAGAAAAATCATACTAAAATATTCATAACCCAATATTTAAATTAACAAGCATTTCATACTTTTTAAGTAAGTTTTAAAAAATTATTATTAATACTTATGTTCGTATTAATGATATTTTGTTAATATTTTTTAATTTCGTTGATATTTTTATGGTATAATAGAAATATTGACATTGACAAATATTTAAAATCTTGATTTTAAGTAGAGGGAGTGCAGGTTTCCTAGTATTTGCTATTTTCATGTAAGTAATAATATTCTAAATTATATGTTTTGTTTGTTATACTCATGGGCCGTTTTATTCTGTCTTGCTGATCATTCTGTTATCTGTCTTCTTGTTCTATTTCCTTTCATAATTTGATCCAATGTTTTTTTCCACCCTGCAGTGTTATCCAGGTGAAGATGACATGGCTATAGCACGGGCAGTTTTGATGTAAGACTATCAAAAAGTTATTTTTACTTGCCACCAATTGAGAACTCTAGATTCAAGGAAATTTTCATGGATTAATGTATATGGGGAGATAACGGGTTAATGAAATGGACAAATATTGACACAGTAAATCTATTGAAAATGATGGAAATTTTGCCTTTAGGGGATCTAGTTGCTAATAGTTTTAGTGTAAGACTAAGGAACCACTTTTTAGAATCACGTGTCACTTTTAAAAAGTCAAGCATTTGGTGTCTTTGCAGTTATTGCAACTATAGAATTTTTTTTTTATCATCAATTCGACGTGAGTTAATAGCCTGCATTATATTAAAATTGAAGTTGCAAACCCTGCAATTGTCAAGTGACTCAGCTCCATATGTTTTACTTTCATTAATATATATTTTTTTTTGATAATAAACAAAGAGAATTC